CTGAGTGGGTTTCTCTGTCTCTGGGAGGATGAGGGGGGCACAGAAATGGGGGGACAGAGGGGAAACCAAGGCAGCCGGGGTCCTCACGGGACACCAGGTGGAGAATGAACTCTACCACTCGTGGGTGGGGACGGGAGGGAGACACTGGGGGAGAGAGCGAGGGACGGGGGGGCAGGGTCCACAGAGCCATGCTCGTGACCTGACTGATGCCACTGTCACCCCTCTGCACACTGCTGGCCTAGGAGGAACCGGAAGCCAGAGAGACGTAAGTAGGGGTGCGGATCGAGTGCTAGAGCACCGGCCCCAAGACAAGCTCAGGGACAGTGCACACGTCCTGAGTTCAGGCCCCAGGACTGGAACACAGAGCAACAAGAAGCATGAGGAAATGGCTTCCCAGTGTTCTCTGCTAATTTGCTTGTTTGTTTATGGGTGTTTTTTTTTTTTTTTGCCAATCCTGGGACTTGAACTCGGGGCCTGGGCGCTGTCCCTGAGCTTCTTTTGCTCCAGGCTGGCGCTCTTACCCCTTGAGCCCCAGCGCCACTAGTGGCTTTTTCTGTGTATGTGGTGCTGAGGAATCGAACCCAGGGCCTCATGCATGCAAGGCGAGCGCTCTACCACCGAGCCACCTGCCCAGCCCTCCAGTCTGTATTTAGCGGGTGTCTTGAATGTCCTGACCACTTTTCTCCAATTAAAATACTGACTGGGCCACTGTAAGGAATTACCGGGCGACAGCTCCAACATGGCACTTTCTTCCTCAGGCCCAAGAAAGCCCCAGCCTTCCTCCCCAACGACAGAGCTCACCCAGAGCCAGAAGAATAAACAGCAACCGTCCCTCGCTCCAGCCAAGGCCGGAGACATAGAAGCAGCTCTGTCTTTGGCTCTGGAAAACAGTTAAAGGGGCATTATATAAATGGAGGTTAAGGTTTCCTTTTCATTATTATTATTAATTATTAATTATTCACTTGACCTCTTCAGTAAGTAGAAATTGGCTTTATGAAAGGTTTCTTTGGTGACCAGATCCCAGGCAGCAAACACAAGTTCCCAGCCTGGGTGAAGCCTCGGTGATTCCTGAAGCGAGCTAAAAGCTTTCTGGAAAGTTCCATGTTTGCGCTGGCGCGTTATATGCGATCTGAAGTGTGCAGAGGGCTGAAGGCAGGAGGGAGGAGAAGGGAGGAGAGGGAGACTCTGGGCTCCGGCACTGAATTCAGCCTTGTCTTCAGAAGTCTGTTCATGTTCCAGGCTTAATTGGAGTCAGTATCATTCTGTGTTGTTTTTTAATTAAAGGAATGATCCGTTACATATGTATATCTTCATCTAATTGTACGCTTACTCTGAAATTAAGTGCTCGAAGAACCCTAGGGACAGAATCATCAGACCACACCAGCAGGCCGGTGGCTCGCGCCTGTCACCCCAGCTGCTCAGGAGGCTGAGATCCAGAGGATCACGGTTCAAAGCCAGCCCAGGGCAGGAAAGTCCGTGAGACTCTGATCTCCAATAAACCACACCAGAAAAGCAAGAGTGGAGCTGTGGCTCAAGTGGTAGAGCGCCAGCCTTGAGTGAAAGAGCTCAGGGACAGCGCCCAGGCCCTGAGTTCAAGCCCCACAACGGACAAATAAATAGATTAATTAATTAATTAATTAAAAAAAATTTAAAGTGTGGAGCCCTGCCTAGTGGCTCACGCCTGTCATCCCAGCTACTCAGGACGCTGAGATCTGAGGATCACCATTTATAGCCAGCCTAGGCAGGGAAGTCCATGGGGATCTTATCTTCAATGAACCAGCAAAAAGAAGTCTAGAAGTGGAGCTGTGGCTCAAGTGGTAGAGCACCAGCCTTGAGTGAAAAAGCTCACAGACAGTACGCAGGCCCTGGGTTCAAACCCCAGGACTAGCCCAAACACACACACACACACACACACACACACACAGAAATGTGGGCAACTATACTTGGCTTCTGCGATTATTATGAAATGTACAATCACAAAAAAACGATGATGGGTGAACTTGGCTCCTTCCAGGGCCTCACAGATGACACGGTCACGCATACAGGCCTCCATCTCGGAAGCTATTTGCCACCTATGCAAGTCAGCCTCTCCTCACTGGAACAAAATATCCGACATAATCTACTTTCAAAGGAACACAGATCGACTCTGGGTAATCGTTTCGGGGGGTCTGGCGAGGGGGTGGGGGGGCTCCTGGCCTGTGGAGAGTTGAGAAATCAGCAGGCGATGGAACAAAGACCCTCACCTTAGTGAACCTGAGAGGAAAACAGGAATGGGCAAGGCCACGCCCCCAAGGGCCTAGGCCACGCCCCCAAAGGCCTAAGGCCCTCTCCCTAGGCTCCACCCCTCAATATGGCCACTGTGAGGATCCAACCAACCCCATCCATCAGCATTCTCCCGCTCGATCATTTTTAGGTCAAAGCCTTTAATAAAGGTGGGGAATATCTGTATAGGAAGAAGGGGGGAAAATACCGTTGCTCCAACCGGGACTCCGTTGATTTAACCTTTGCAGCCACACCTGCAATTGATAAACACTGAGCTCATCACAAACAAACTAAGAAAAGGGGGCGGGGATATTCTCTGCCTGGAAAACTCAGGTCAGTTAAGAAACTAGAGACTCCGAATCCATTCCAGAAGCTTCCCCAAAGACTACGCTGCTGTCCCATGACATCTAATTTCTACAGCTCCATTATTTCCCCTTCGTGGCCTAGAAAGTGACTTCCGGTTGTTGATTTTTTTGGTGTTTTTTTTTTTTTCCTCTTTTCTTATTTGCCTTTTTTTTTTTTCTTTAACTGGCAGGGGGTAAAGGTTTTAGTGCTGCCAGTACAAATAGATAAGTAAATAAAATAATAATAATATGAACTCAGGAAAACCAACGTTCTGTAAATAAATCCCAGGGAACAGAAAAAAAAAAAAAAAAAAAAAACTGGAGCCAGGAAAATTCCTCAAAGAAACCAAGGGCTCTCTGCTAGGAGAGTTTTGAGGGAGAAGAAGAGACCAGCAACACGGAGAGAGATGGAGTTGGTACAGAAAAATAGATCAGTGGTCACTCTGATGCCATTGCTGGGTCCCAGAAACACAATAGAAAAAGAAGACATCATTCGTTGGTTGGTTGGTTAGTTGGTTGGCTTCTTCCCCATCTTCCAACTAACAAGGCTCTTTTTATTCTTTGTTGGGCGGTGGGTCTTGAACTCAGGGCCTGGGCGCTGTCCCTGAGCTCTTTCACTCAAGGCTGGTGCTCTACCACGTGAATCACAGCTCTACTTCTGGTTTTCTGGTGGTTCCTTGGAGATCAGAGTCTCACAGACTTTCCTGCCCAGGCTGGCTTTGAACTGTGATCCTCAGATCTCAGCCCCCCTGAGTCGCTGGGATGACAGGTGTGAGCCACCGGCACCCAGCCCAACAAGTCTCTTCTGAGCAGATGTCTCCCCGTGGTGGACCTCCCCCCCCTCCCCCCGCCCTGTCCTCCTCCTCTGGGCCGGGGCTGAGCGCTGCTGCCTGAGGGCCAAGGTCAGCACAGGCGAGAAACGCAGCAGCCGCGCCCCTCGGGGGGCTTGGCACGCCCCACGCACAGCCTTACACGGGGGGGAAACGTCCCGGAGTCTGCGTCCTCAGCACACAGCTGGAGATGTCCCGAAATCTGCGTCCTCAGCACAGGGAGGAGAGGAACGAGGCCTTCACAGGTCCTCAGTTATAGTCCCAGGCCAGAACTGACACAAAACACCACAGCCAGGGAGGGAGGGAGGGAGGGAGGGAGGGGGAGGGGGGAGGGAGGGGAGGGAGGACGAAGGAAGGAAGGAAGGAAGGAAGGAAGGAAGGAAGGAAGGAAGGAAGGAAAAGAGGAAGGAAGGAAGGAAAAGGAAGGAGGGAAGGAAGGAATGAAGAGGGAGGGGGAGAGGTGGGAGGGAAGGAAAGGAAGGGAGAGGGAAGGAAGGAGGGAGAGGAAGGGAAGGGAGGGATAGAAAAAGGGAGGGAGAGGAAGGGAAGGAAGGAAGGAGGGAGGGAAGGAGAGAGGGAAGGAAGGAAGGAATGAGGGGGAGGGAGGGGAGGAGGGAAGGAAGGAAAGGAAGAAAAGAAGGAAGGAAGGAGGGAGAGAAGGAAGGAGGGAGGGAAGGGAAAGGAAGGAAGGAAAGAAGGGAAGGAGGGAAGGAAGGAAAGGAAAGAAGGAAGGAGGAGGGAGGGAGGGAAGGAAAGAGGGAGGGGGAGGGAGGGAAGGAAGGAAGGAAGGAGGAGGGAGGGAAGGAGGGAGGGAGGGAAGAAAGGAAGGAAGGGAAAGAAGGAAGGAAAGAAACAAAGAGGGAGGGAAGGAAGGAAGGAAGGAAGGAAGAAAGGAGGGAGGGAGGGAAGGAAGGAGGGAGGGAGGGAAGGAAGGAGGGAGGGAGGGAAGGAAGGAAGGGAGGGAGGGGGAGGGAGGGAGGGAGGGAGGGAAAGAGGGAGGGAGGGAGGGCTGCATGAGCAGGTGAGTTGGATGGAGGGTGGGGAGGGTGGAGATGTGGAGGGCAGGGGGGTGCTGTGACCGGCTGCTGGGGGGGGTGGGGGTTCGGCCTGTGACCCCCTCAAACTCCACAGCCGCTGACTAAGGTCGCCGTCAGACAAGGACCCCGCTGCACACACACTCAGCCCTGCCGGGGCCCCTGTCCCACCGTCCATCTGTCTGTCAGGACAGCCCCTTCCTCCTCTCCCCCCCCCCCCCTCCGCCCCCTGCCGTCTTCTCAGACCCAGCACTGGTGGCTGTGTGTCCAGCCAGGGAGGGGGGAGGTCAGGGGAGAAGGCCAAGCCCCGGTGTGCAGATCCTGGGGTCACACAGCCAACTGCCCCCCCACCCCCCACCCCCGCCCCGGGAAAGGTGCCCACTAGCGCGTGGAAGCAAGGAATCTTTGGGAAAGTTCCAGAGGCCAGATGGAGGCCAGCCCCTCTCCCCTCCCCTTTTCCCTCCCTTCCCCCCAACCCCTCCGGCCCCTCCCCTGTCAGCTGCTCAAGTTCCTATAAAAAAACCGGGTTCAGCCTCTGTCTCCACCAGCCCGCAGGAGTCTCTCCCTACCTCGGGACGGACGGACAGACAGACAGACGCAGGGGGGAAACCGAGCCACGGGCCCCGCAACCATGAAGCATCTGCTCCTCCTTGCCGTCCTGGCCGCCCTGGCCCTGCTGGCTGTGTGCTACGGTGAGACTTGGCTTGGGTTTACCCCCCCCCCCCACCCTCCCCTCTGCCCTTCCCTCCTCCTTCTTCCAGCTCAAGGCTGGGCAGGGAAACTTCTCAGATCTCCACGGATACAGAATCCATCCATCAAGCCTGTGGATCTCGGGTCTGCGATCTCCAAATACTTTTAATGAGCAGCTTCTACAGGGGGTCGGGAAGGGAGGGCTTGTCTGGGGTGAGTCTACACCCCAGGCGATTTGCAGAAGAAACTATCAAATTTGCCAGCCCCGGCAATCTAGCATATAATATATATACATCTTTATGTACATATATATAATTTTATATATATTATTACATATGCTATGGATTAAAGGCTGTAGCTTGAAGAAAATCAGTTTGTCTCTGAAGTATTTCAGCCCCTACTGGGTATAGGCTGCTATTATGAATTTTCTGCCTATGCCCAACAAATTCATTGCAAACGAGAAAGGAAAATCAAAGTCCTGATGTCCATTATCCCCCGCCAAGATAAAGAGTAGTGAGTTTTGTTTGTTTGTTTGTTTTCTGGATCTCTAGAGATCAGGGCCTGTGTCTGTCTGTGTCCAAAGAGGAGTTGGAAAGTTATTCTGGAAACCAAGTTATTTAATATCATTCTGCTGCTTCTCTTTCTGTGTGTGTGTGGTGTGTGTGTGTGTGTGTGTGTGTGTGTGTGTGTGCTGGTTTGTCTGGTTTTTCTTAAGCCTCGATTGCAGTCACAGTCTTGAGGTTTATCCCTGCTCATTCCTGAAGTTCTTCACGAACTTTCTGTGTAAGACAGATTGGCAGAAAGCACCCTGGGCCTCTCCTCCTCCGGTCTCTGGGAGACTGAGAGGATTTAACCCAGGCTTTAGAAAAATGGAGAAAAATGTGCCCTTCAGGCTCCGCTGAGCTCTCTCTCTCTGTCTGCCCAGAGAAATCCCTTCCGGATGTTTCTATTGCTCTCCTTCAGAAGCCAAGGATGCTCAGTCTGCCAGAGAGAGAGTTCATTGCTCATTTTCAGTGCCCAAGCCTTGAACGTGTCCCAGGGTGCTGAACTGAGGACCCCCAGAGCCGGGGGGGGGGGGGGTAACTCAAACCAATCACTATTTCTCCAGATATCAGATTAAACCCAAGCGTTTGCCCACGTAGAGACTGAGAACGGGCAAAGCCCTAGATTCCTGGAGTTTGTAATAACCACATTGTTAAGTATATTCTCAGCATCTTTTGGACTCTCCCTCCTCTCCCATCCCTATACTTAGACCGTTTGAGTGTCTGATAAATAACTAGATGATGAATCTTTGTTGTTGCTGTTCTTTCTCAATTCCAGAATCTCACGAGAGCATGGAGTCGCACGAAGTCAGTAAGTGAATTTTTTGACTTCTTGATTTCATGACTCTCCCTCCCTCCCTCTTTCCCTCTTTCAAGAAGCCAAGTGGCTAGACGTGTCATTGGGGGGAGTTATTTAAGGAAAAAAAAAAAAGGAAAAGAAGAAGAGGAGCTTCTTTTGGAAAAATCAAAGTCCATTTTAAAAAAATGCAATGATGGTTTTAAAAAAAAATACAGCCATCAAAAATGAGCAAACCATTGAAGCTCGGGGAAATATAATATGCCGTTGAAAATATAATGTGCCATTTTTTCAACTTACTTCAGAGACATGAAATGTCATTTGGAAAAGTTTAAGTCAGTGCCACATTAGCCTCAGAAATGGAAAATGAGGGGGTGAAAATCATAGCAAAGACAAAAATACGCAGTCCCAGCACCCTCCATAGTAAGTTCAAGGCCATTAAGTTTCTGCACAGAAAAGACCCGAGCAGAGGCTGGGCAGGTGGCTCAGTGGTAGAGTGCTCGCCTAGCGTGCATGAAGCCCTGGGTTCAAGTCCTCAGTACCACATACACAGCAAAAGCTAGAAGTGGCGCTGTGGCTCGAGTGGTAGAGCGCCATCGTTGAGCAAAAGAAGCTCAGGGACAGTGCCCAGGCCCTGAGTTCAAGCCCCAGGACTGGCACCAAAAAAAAAAAAAAAAAAAGAACTTCAAGTAGAATATCGCTCTTGTTTTTTTAACTGTTCATGATTTTTATATTGTTTTAAAGGTTCGGGGCCTGGGGATGAGCATTTCTCCTCAAATAAATTATTTGAGGGACTAACACAAGGTGACAAGTGTCTCAGTCCTAGCAGGGGATGGCTGAGCTTTCTGGGCTAGGATGCATTTCAGGAACGCCTGCTTGGCCGTCCTCTGCTTCTGTCTAACTCTGGGTGGAACGCCGAATCTTCCTGGAAATCTATCCAGCCACCGCTCCCCTAACACGGCCCCTGTTTCTTGTCTGCTTGAAGGCCCGTTCATTAACAGGAGGAATGCAAACACCTTCATGTCCCCACAGCAGAGATGGCGCGCAAAAGCCCAGGAGAGGTACGTACAAGAACTGCGGGAGCGAGAAATACTCAAGTGCACGCACATGCACGCGCACACACATGCACACCCGTGTACACCCACCCAGGCCACGCGCTGGGGCTCCCATCTGTAATCCTAGCTACTCAAGAGGCTCAACTCTGAAAACACAGGTTCAAAGCCAGCCTGGCCAGGAAAAACAAATTCCAAGAGATTCATCTCTAGTTAGCCACAAAAGCTAGAAGTGTAGGCATGGCTCAAGTGTTAAAGCACCAGCCTTGAAGGGAAAAAAATCTAAGCAAAAATGCAAGGCTCTGAGTTCAAGTCCCAGGACTGACCTATATGAATATATAAATAAGCAATATACAAAGACAATTGAATATTTAGAAATCTAAGGCTGGGCACCGGTGGCTCACACCTGTCATCCCAGCTCCTCAGGAGGCTGAGATCTGAGGATCGTGGTTCAAAGCCAGCCTGGGCAGGAAAGTCTTTGAGACTCTGATCTCCCATGAACCACCAGAAAACTGGAAGTGGCGCTGTGGCTCAAGTGGTAGAGCACCAGCCTTGAGCTGAAGAGCTCAGGGACAGCGCCCAGGCCCTGAGTTCAAGCCTCACAACCAACAACAACAGAAAAAAGGAAGCCAATTTTTTTTTGAAAGTCACAGAAAGGAGAGGGAAAGGCAGGAAGAAATACTCTGCTTTCTTTCAAACAACAACAACAACAAAACTAAAGTGTATTCTACCTTCTCTCCCTGTCCTTCCTCTATCTATCCATCTATCTATCTATTTATCTATCTATCTATTTATCTATCTATCTATCTATCTATCTGTCTGTCTGTCTGTCTGTCTGTCTGTCTGTCTGTCTGTCTATCTAATCTATCTACATACCTACTACCTACCTACCTTCCATCCATCCATCCATCCATCTATCTATCTATTTATCTATCTATCTATCTATCTATCTATCTATCTATCTATGTATCTATCTATCTAATATTATACTATTATATGCTATCTATCGTATATGTATTATATTACTATGTATCTATTATATTATTATATACTGCCTATTATATATTATCTATTATATCATTCTATTATCTATTATATCTATATCTATTATTATATTCTGTATCTATTACCTTATATGCCATCTCTCTATATAATTATATTGTTGACATCAATATCTGATTTTCTGATTTTTTTCCTCTTCCTTTTCGCTTTTGGTTCTGCTTTTCCCCTTGTCTCCGTGCATCTCAATTCTGGCCTTGGCGCCATTTTCCCCAGGATCCGAGAACGGAACAAGCCGCCCTATGAGGTCAATAGAGAAGCCTGCGATGACTACAAGCTCTGTGAGCGCTACGCCATGGTCTACGGCTACAACGCGGCCTACAACCGCTACTTCAGGAAGCGCAGAGGAGCCAAGTGAGCGGCCAAGGACGGAGCCACCGGCCCGGCCTGGCGTCTTTAGGAAAGCCTGGTTTTGAACCCACAGCGCCCCCCCCCCCAAGCTGTAGCTTTATGACATATACAGACACACACACAGATGCTTGATTCCTGAGGCTACCTGTCTGGCTGTGTCCCCTACCTTTGTGCCCCTCACCCCCATATTGGAAAAGTAAGGGAGTTCCAGGTTGTCGACATGTAGGATGAGCTATAATAAACTTCTGGTTTGATACTGCCATTCGTAAATCTTGTCGTCGTCGTTGTTTTATTTCTTCTGGGGGGAAACGGTGAGATGTTGAAATGGTGGCCCAACTGAAGTTTCTGTGACATCTGTCTCTGGCTGAGGACAGATAGAAGGAGAAAATTTCTTTCTTTGCTGGGGAGCAAGTGGGTGGCTGGCTCCTGTTACGAATTTTCCAGGGTTTTCGGGTTGTAAGGGGGGCTGTTTCAGGGTTGACTCCGTTTATTTCTCTTCTCTTACGTGTCAGGGTAAAAAGAAACCTCAGGCTGGGGATAGGTGGCTCATGCCTGTCATCCCAGCTACTCAGGAGGCTGAGATTGGAGGATAGGAGAGTAGAGGTTCAAAGCCAGCCCAGACAAGGAAGTCTTGTGAGACTTTTTATCTCCAATGGACCAACGCAAAAGCCAGAAGTAGAGCTGTGTGTGTGTGTGGTTCAAGTGGTAGAGCGCCAGCCTTGAGCGAAAAAGCTCAAGAGAGACAATGCCCAGGTCTTGAGTTCAAGCCTCCAGACAAACACAGAAATAAAATAGCAGGGCTGGGAAGGTGGCTCAGTGGGAGAGAGCTTGCCTTGCATGCCTGAGGCCCTGGGTTCGATTCCTCAGCACCGCATAAGCAAAAAGAAAAAAGCCGGAAGTGGCGCTGTGGCTCAAGTGGTAGAGCGCTAGCCTTGAGCTGAAGAGCTGAGGGACAGCGCCCAGGCCCAGAGTTCAGGCCCCACCACCGGACCCCCACCCCCAAAAAAGCAATAAAATAGCAGCCTCAAGAAATCTAACAGAAAGGAAAACCAAGGAAGGGAAATATCACAAGCTGACAGACTTTGGTCCAACTGTATCATAATCGCAACAACGCATGAACCATTGCACAACCCAGATACATATAGATATATGCATATATATACATATGTGTGTGTGTATATATATAATTTTTGCCTTAGTTAATTCTAACTAGGATTAAATAGTAATAAAAGGGGGGGGGGAGACAAAGCTAAGGGATGATGTTAAGACACACAGCTTTATCCATGTAAACAGCCTCAGGAAACTCAGGAAAGCTGCTATCTTGGGGGGGGAGGGAGGGGACACCATACCACACTGCATAGCTAATGCACACCATTTATTTTTTATTTTTATTTTTGCCAGTCCTGGGGCTTGAACTCAGGTCCTGGGGGCTGTCCCTGAGCTCTTCAACTCAAGGCTGGTGCTCTACCACTTGAGCCACAGCGCCACTTCCGGTTTTCTGCTAGTTCATGGGAGATCAGAGTCTCATGGACTTTCCTGCCCAGGCTGGCTTCGAACTGCGATCCTCGGATCTCAGCCTCCTGAGTAGCTGGGATGACAGGCGTGAGCCACGGGTGCCCGGCTAGGAACTGTCTTGTTAATAAAGGTAGAGGCTCCTGGTTATCAGTAGCAAGCGGAGCTTCCGATCTCCAGCCAAGGCAGGAGGAATGTATTTGCTAGCTGGTAATACACGGCGGCCCGTGGTGCTACTCCTCAGCTGAGTCGTAATGATAGATACGTGCACGCATCTGTCAGCCATTGTAGAAGAAGGGTAATAGGAAACCTACTTTCCTTTACCAAATTAAGCACCGAGAGCACCAAATAAAGCCAAATAAGGAATTGCAGGACGGATTGCTCTTAAGAGGAAGCATCATACATCAGTACTGGCCCCTGTCCAGCTATAAGAATTGGGGCTGCACTACATTCCCTAAACTTCCCAAGTCTGCTGGCTTGTTCCTAGGATGTGAGTGAGCTGGATCTCCAGCAGGCGGCCCTAGCAAATGAGAAAACTTAATTATACAGCTGAGAGAGAGGATGTGTTGTTCTAGACAACCTGGAAATACATTAATATGTTTCTTTCTTATTCTATGTTTATTTATTTATTTGTGTCGGTCCTGGGACTTGAACTCGTGGCCTGGGCGCTGTCCCTGAGCTCTTTCGCTGCAGGCTGGTGCTCTACCACTGGAGCCACAGCGCCACTTCCGGTTTTCTGGTGGATCACTGGAGATCAGACTTTCCTGCCCTGGGCTGGCTTTGAACCGCGATCCTCAGATCTCAGCCTCCGGAGTAGCTGGGATGACAGCCCAGTGGCTTTGTATATTTTGAGTGTGACGTGGTGGGGGGAGGGCTCTCTCTCGATGGTATCAAATTGAAATGGACCCCAATGTTTCTGATATGAAAACAGAGACACCCCCCCCTTCACCCCGCCTGGAGTCTATGGCTGTGCGCTGAGCATGCTCTAGGAGACTCCTCTGTTCTTGCCTTCAGAGAAATGGACGGGGTGACCTCCCTGTGGGATGGGGGGAGGCGGGGGTGCGGGGAGGGAGCTTTTTTCCATCTCTCCTGTTCGTCTGAATTCGGGCATTGAAAGCGAAGCAGCAAACAGGAAAGCCAGAGACCAGAGTTACCCAGGGTTGTTCAAACATGAGGTTAGGCGCTGAACGCTCACTCACTGTTCAAGAAATGAGATCTTGGCTCAAGCCGGGGATCTGTGTGGCGGCGGAGGTCTAGTAAACTCTTCTGTGCTTGAACAAGACCTGCTGTGTCTCTACCCCCTCCCCCAGCCTCCTGGCACACATAAAAGGGGGAAAGTAATCCACCGAGGCTTAGGGAGGCGATTTTTAGCCATTCTGAGAGAGAATCTTCTTGGGAAGGTGCCCGAAGGATTATGATCTGGGATGAGAGAATGATTCCACGAGAATCCCACCCGTTGTCTTCGCCTCCATTCCTGGGGAGGGAGTTAGGCCTCCAACCTGCGTGCACGCTAAGAAGGAAATTATAGAGCAGAGCGCGAGGAGATCATTTGTTCATTACCCCGGTAAATGCCCTGGTACGGGAAGGCCGCAGGGGACAGGGAAGCGGGGACCAAATTACCAAGCTGAGTAGAACGTGAACACATGTGTGTGTGTGTGTGTGTGTGTGTGTGTGTGTGTGCATGCAGCTCTTGTACACACAAAGGGGAACTGAGAGTCCAAAGGAAATACAGAGCGGACAGGGGCCAATCTTTCCTAAGTGAGGGTTTGTTCTACGGTGCCGTTTTCCAATCAGGGATCTCCTTGGAAGCTGCTCTGGTCCCTGATGACCAATTCTGTCCCGTTGATACACTCCTCGAATATCTGCACAGAGAGAGGGAGAGGGAGGTCTGTGATAGACAGAGAGAGAGGGGAGAGGTGAGCCGTAGATGATAGATGGATGGAGGGATGATAGACATAGAAGATAAATCAATGGATGATGGATACATAGAAGATAGATTGATAGATAGATGAATAGATAGGCAGGAAGGTAGGTAGATGATAGATAGATAGGAGAGGATGCTAGTTAGATAGGTAGATAGATGATAGATAGATAAATAGATAGATGGATGGATACATGAATAGATAGGTAGGTGGATACATACATACATACATATATACATAGGTACATACATAGATGATACATACGTACACATATAGATACATAGGTAGATGATAGATACATAGATGGATGATAGCTCCATAGATGAGTAGGTAGATAGAGAGAAGACAGATAGGTAGATAAATAGATAGATAGATAGATAGGTAGGCAGGCAGGCAGGTAGACAGACAGACAGACAGATAGATAGGCAGGCAGACAGACAGAGAGACAGACAGAGAGACAGACAGATAGATAGATAGATAGACAGACAGACAGAGAGACAGAGAGACAGACAGAGACAGACAGAAGGACAGACAGACAGATAGATAGATAGGCAGGCAGACAGACAGAGAGACAGAGAGACAGACAGACAGACAGACAGACAGATAGATAGATAGGCAGGCAGACAGACAGAGAGACAGAGACAGATAGACAGACAGATAGATAGATAGATAGGCAGGCAGACAGACAGAGACAGACAGACAGACAGACAGACAGATAGATAATAGATAGATAGATAGACAGAAAGACAGTCACGGGCTGGGAGTTGTGAGGCATTCTGGGACCTGCTCAGTCTGGCCCACACCACACTCTCTCTGTCCACAGAACCCTCCTCGGCGGACACGGCCCTCGGAGTCCAGAGGGTCCAGAGCCCCGTCCACGCGTGGGGCAGGGGGCAGGGGGCAGGGGGCAGGCAGGCAGAGGCTGATGGGAAGTAAAGAGAGGGGCTGGCAAGAGAGAGGGAGCGAGGGAGGGAAAGAGAAGGAAGGGGAAGAGGAGAGGGAGAGAGAAGGAAGGAAGGAAGAAGAGAGGGAAGGAGAAAGGGGAGAGGGAGAGAAAGGGAGAGAAGGAGGGAAGGAGGAGAGGAGGGAAGGGAGAGAGGGAGAGAGAAGGAGGGAGAAAAGGGAGGAGAGAAAGGAGAGAGGGAGAGAAAAAGGGAAGAGAGAGATGGAGAAGGAAAGGGAGGGAGGAGAGAGAAAGACAGGAGAGTGGGAGAAGAGAGGGAGAGAAAGAGATGGAGGGAGAGGGGGAGAGAGGGAGGAGAGGAGGGAGGAAGGGAGAGGGGAGAGGGACGGGAGAGAGAGAAGAAGGGAGGAGAGAGGAGGAGAAAGGGAGAGAGAAAAGGAGGGAAAGAGAGGAAGGGAAGAAGAGAGGGAGAGAAGGAGGGAAGGAAGAAGGGAGGGAGGGACAGAGAATGTGTGTGTGTGTGTGTGTGTGTGTGTGTGTGTGTGTGTGTGTGTGTGTGTGTGTCCAGAGTCAGGAAACCCGACACCACCAATCCCGGGCCTAGACATGGGAGACAGCAATGCCCATCCCTGGCGGGGGGGGGGGTTAGAATCATGGGGTGACTGTCCCCCCCCAGATGACAGGTAAATGAGCATCACCCACTGGTGCCAAGTGGCTAGATGCTCAGCAGAACAGGAAAAGACAAGCACTCTCCCCTGGCTGGGAAAGAAGGCCCACCCTAGAACAATCCAGAACAAACCATCAAGCCAAAACTCCGCTGCTTCTGCAAGACGGACAAATAAACCATCTGTGCTTGAAAAACATTGACAGTCCCCCCCCCCACGCACACCCCCACACACCCATGCACGCCCATACCACTCCTCTCACACTTG